GATCCAGCAGGGCTCACATCAAAGAGGACACTCTCCACGCCTCCTTCCAAGGCCCATAGGTGGAGGGCATATGCTCCAGTTCCAATTCAAAGACAAGGCATCACTCTCCAGGGCTACAGGTAAGTTACGTACGCAGTTCCCAGGTCTGCTCCCCATCTCCCCTTGACCACCAGGAGCATTATTGGAAAAGAAATTTGGAACATTGATATAGCAGTCAATCACACTGAGGGGAATATGCTTTCTCATAGATTTATCAAACAATTATTGACTGCTTACAGTTAAAACTATTCAGTTAAAATAATTCAGTTTTCAAATGTATACAAGCAAAAGCGATGATAATAGTGATCAATGTTTAATGTAATTAGATTTTTGTCCTCAAAGGAGCACAAAGAAATCAGTTAGCATGCACTTTTAAATGAACCAAATGGACCCTATTATCTAACATAAGGTTATTTATTATTTTTTCTTTGGAATGACTAGTTGTTGAAACTTACATAACAATAAAATAGTTACAGTTAGTATTATAACTGGGTTGTCTTATCAAATGCCCTGGAACTGTCTTGAATCTAGGACCTATGGCGCTTCTGGTGCGTGGACAGATTAGGTATATTTGAGACTAGGAGGAGAGTGGACAGAGAAAACAAGGGACAAAACAGAACTTGATAATCAGTGAGGATATGTATGTGTGCAGGTATATTTGTATGCAAGTATTTATTTTATTTATTTTATTTGTATTAATAAACTGAAATGTAAAATATGCTAAACTGCATGACACACAATTTGTTGACAAGAAAGAAGTAGGCAAGAAGAGAAGGTACACAGCAATATAGCAATATAGCAATATAGGAAGCTAGTGTCATATCTGGAATTAAATGGACTACACAAAACATCATACATGAGCCACAAGGAGAATAACATTCCCATACCCACACCCATATTTGCAGAAGGTTTCCAACCTGAATCTCTGCCCCAAGATGGCATAACAGGTGTAAGAAATATGATCCTATAAAAGCTAGCAGTCTTTGATCACCAAACAAGATTACCAAAGATCACAGGTAAACTGCCACCATACATGCTGTGTGCAGTTAATGAGAGAATATCCACAATCCCAACAAGCACCATCACAAAGCCAACCAAGTCATCTATGCCATGACATTAGTGGTCCTCCAAAAGATAAACTACAA